CCATCCTTGAATTACAGAAGAACTGTTCTAAAAAACTCTGTAAAACCCGGATGGGTGGAACCTGATCTAAACTATATTTTATGATTGGATAAATTAAATGTTTTACCAATGTAAAGTATTTAATATTAACCAATCACGATCCATCTAACTAACAACCCACTTATTTGTAAGTGCTGAAGTTACTTGTAATTTCAGCACCAGAGAGATTTGAATTTAACTTAGAAATTAGTTGGACTCTCCCGAGCACTTCAGCAACCGCAATAAACCAGTATACCCTAGATCTATTGAGCCTAGCAGAGACTAGTTAAACAACCTGAGACTAGATAGTATAAGAGTAAGATTAGGATCGGTATTAGACTAAGAAGTTGCACGAATCTATCCGGCCGAAAATAAGATAGCGTGACGAGCAGACGGTGTACCCTATCCGAAATTACTCTATGAGTTAACCACATCGGTCCTAACTCACCTGATTCATGCGTTTTTGCAAACTTCGAATCGTTACTCATTTTCAAGGTTTCTTGTCAAGGGTTCTCTTTCAGCTGTCGACGGTTAGCTAGATGGTTTGTCCTCTGTCTGTGGAGAATCAGGTTTCCTTGATTCTAACGATTTGAAAAAAAAATCAAATTTCATGTTCTCTTTAGCTATCGTCGCATCTTTAAAAATGTCTCTCCAATCTTCCCTTGCCTTTGGATGATCAATTGTACAGGTTTGCCAATATAGGGGAATTCCTTTGTAAAAGTTTTAAGTGCGCCAAAATAAAGAAGAACATTGTTTTAGCTAATCTAAACTTAAAGTAAACAAGACTGCTCGTATCAGGGCGAAGCCCTGAATGTTCCGACTGCCTTTTAAGTTTTATGGAGCAGTAATAACATTAAAAAATTCAATGAAATAAAACAAAATGAAATTTTTTTTTCTAAAATTTGAAAATTTTCATGAAAATCATCCCCCCACACGCCATATAAAGTACAAAAGGATAGATTTTGCGCCGGGTAACAAACCAATTATGGCAAATAAGCTTCTTTTAACCAATTTGGAAGGATTTCTAAGACGGATTAACTCTGCGCTTACGCGTTAATAGCGCGAAATATATCGCGCGTTAATTGTCCCAAATTGGCCAAAATGGCAATCTTTAAACCCCCGTAACTTTACGAAAAATAATCACAGGTGAAATATCTTTTCAAATTTGAGCTCAGGGCAACAATACTTTTCGAATGATATAAAAAAATGTCGTCAAAAATGGCTAGTTAAAAAGTCGAAATTTGTCTGAAGAAAAAAAAAACCCACCCCGAGCACAAATATTCCGTTACTTTCGTATCGAAAGTCGGAACAACAAGACTGCTCGTATCAGGGCGAAACCCTGAAAGTTCCGACTACCTTTTAAGGTCTATGGAGCATTACTAAGAGGAAAAATTTCAATGCAAAAAAAAAAATTTGTTTTTTGAAAAATTTGAGATTTTATGTAAAAACATCCCCCACACGTCATATTAAGTACAAAGTGATAGATTTTGCGCTATTAACAAATCAATTATGGCATATAAGCTTCCTTGAACCAATTTGGAACGATTTCTAAGATGGATTAACTCTCCGCTTACGCGTTAATAACGCGAAATATATCGCGCGTTAATTGTCCCAAATTGGCCAAAATGGCAATCTTTAAACCCATATAACTTTACGAAAAATGATCACAGGTAAAATATCTTTTAAAATTCAAGCTCAGAAAAACAATAGCTTTCGAATGATATAAAAAAATTCCGTCAAAAACGGCTAGTTAAAAAGTCGAAATTTGTCTGAAGAAAAAAAAAACCCACCCCGAGCACAAATATTCCGTTACTTTCGTATCGAAAGTCGGAACAATAAAATTAAAAAACCTGACTCAATAAAAAATGCGTTGTATAAAACCAAACACCAGGGCACTGACTCCTTTACTCCAAAGCAGTTAGAAAAAATTTGAATTATTATTTTTACCGGCTTTTTTGTTGATTTGTACCGCCCAAACCAAGTAAGATTAATTTTCTGAGCTGGATTATTGTGCCTCATAGCTTAAACATTTTAGAATGAAACTCAAAAAAATCCTGAAATTGAGCTCGTAGGTAAAATTGACGTTCCAGAAACAATACTTGCAAAATAGTTTATATTTGTTCTATTATAACTTGCTGTTGTGATAAGCAAATGACCCAAAAAATTTCAAAAGCCAAAATATGTTTGCAAAAACTTTTGCAAAAATGAAATTTACAACTAAAGAAAGTTATGCTTTTAAAGCTAGAAACTGAAAACTGATTCTCAAGAACTTCTTTTTGAAGCAACCGAAGATGAAACAAACCTGTTCTACTACCTGAAATTGATCTTGTTGAGATGACAAGAATTATTCTGGGTGTTCTGTGTTAAATGGCATAAAAGCAGTGCAAGAAAAACGATTTTGTACCGTAAACTACTTTTTTCGAACCCAAGCCTAAGTAATTAGTTATAACGGATGATATAGAGTTTTTAAAACAATTTTATTGAATTGTAACTACAGTTTTAAGGCTTCTGAATTATATTTAGCCAACTAAAATTTTTTGATGTCTTATAATCAATTGAATATGACTATACTTAATTGATAAATCGTGCAAATGCGCTGGTAGTATTCTATGTTGCCATATTGTTGTCATAGCAGAAATTTTTCCTTATGATGGATTAAAGTTTTGCAGTTAGTGACGAAGTCTTCTAATGTGAGATCTCGTGTAACCTTCTGTTTCATCTGAACATAAGTTCTACATCAACAAAATTTTTTAATGGTCCTCATATTTTTGTCGAAAGATTCCCGGGGTAAATTATAATGATTCAGCCAAAAACAATCATAGTTAAACAATGTGCTCAAAAAGTGGTAAAAAACGTGCTTGATCAAAAAAAATGAGGCAAGAAACTTATAATGATTGAATTGTTTCAAAAGGTGCTGAAATAGTTTTCCAAGTTGTTAAAGCGGCCAACGTGCATATAAAGGAGAAATAAAAATCAACTTAGATGCAAATTGAACTTAAATCAGTAAATAGAAAAGGCTGTCCTGTCCGGTTGCTAATGCAGTTTTTTTAACGTTTTTATTTAGAATTTAGAAATGTTTTTCACGTTTTACGAGTTTTCACGCTTTTTTTTCGAAGCAATATTTTTTTGTGCCAGATGTGATAAAAATGATCTGACAAAAACTTGAAAATTAGATATATTCAAAAATCACAGTAAAGTAAGATTGAGCAACAATTTTTTTTGAAAAAATTACACTAAAAAAGCAAATTTTTAAAGTTTTCCTCATATTTTAAAGAATAAAGCTAAAGTTTCGGCCTATTTTCATATAAAAAGCTACTCGTTCCCTAAACTGGCTCAAAATTAGATTGAAAACATCAATTTTCCCGACACTGGGACAATTTTTCAATGTCATTCGAAACAGGACTGAAAGGGTTTTCATAAGATAAATCAGTTTATCCATTTTGGTGATTCTTCGTGGTAAATGGTTTTCGTTGAAAAATTAGAATAAACCTGCTCCTCACCTTAATCGCTAAAAAAGAACAAAATCAAAAATTTTAAACGAGTTCCTCTTAACAAGGAAGTTTTTTTTCAAATTAAATGCATATAGTTTTAATCCCAACTGAACGGTCCTTAGCATATAGCATTCGAGCCACTCCAATGAATATTCGTGGTACCTGATTTTCCGTGGAAAAATTTTAGTCATACCTGAATACAAAAATCTTCCTCATCTTCACTGGTCGGAACAAAAATGATACTTGGTGAAAATTGATTATGTTCGATTGAAATGATTATCATTTCCATACAAAAAAGAAATAGGGATAAAAAACTTAATATTTTTTATTGTATTTTACTTTTATCGCATGGATGTTCTATATGTTCTAACTCAAAAAACACATGAAAAATAAGAACAAGCTTTGTATAAGAACAAGCTTTAAAGCTAGGTTGTGCTTAATTTTAAAACTTTTGACGCCTGTTTTAGAACTTTTTCAGAGTTCCATAGAATTTTGTTAGCTAAAAGGGAAAAAACTTACGCGCAACTGACTTATGTTTCAAAATTGGTTTAAGCTTTTAGATATTCCTGCAGAATGAAAAATTATCTATTGAGCCAGTTTTCTCTAGTCATTTAGTGTTATGAAAAAAAGTGATCATCGTGAAATATTCGTGAAACTAAAAGAACTAGATTTTTTTCTGAAATGCTAAAACTATAAGTGTTGAAGAAATGTTTCTTCGTTTTACTAGTTTTCTTGCTTTTCACCAGAAAAACTTGTTTTTTTCTCCCAAATAAATTTGACAGAAAATGTGATCAAACTGTTTGAGTAAAAACTAACTGACAATTTAATTTCTTTTTTGCAGATAATTTATGCGATTTGATTTTGATTACTGACTTATAAAGTTGTAGTGAAAAAAAACCATTCTCGTTTATCTCGCAGCAAAAATTTTTCAATTTTTCTCCATGAGTGTTTTATATTGAGACACAAAAAGCTGCAGAAAAAACGTATGAAAAAAAAAGAAATTGATTGTAGCTTCTGTCAGGAACTGGAGCTCTTCTCAAGCCAAAGGGAAAAACTTAACTTTTTTCCCAAATTGCGTTTGGCATTTCTACGGCATTTCAACCGCATTCTCCAAAAGGTTGCCAGTTTAGAAAATTTTGCAGATTATCAATACTATAAGAGCTTATTATAATTTTAATCAAGGTATAAGCTAAAACAAAACCGATCCAGATTCCGAATTATCGGACAAGGGAATACGCACTCACCACACAACGAACGACCACCGTCTTCTGCTGCTATGGCTAAGAACTACAAGAATAAGAATTGTAGAGGTGTAACGAACTTCTTTTTTGATGTGTTACTCTATATGACATTTGTAGCCCTACACCTGTAACTCTACCCAAAATTACGCCATCAAGCAAACCAAAATATCCGAAATAAATTAGAAATTGCGTTAGTTGACCAGCATCGATTTTGATTAATTTTCATGCAAATGCTATCCTTTTTTTTCAGCCTCAGGCATAGGTCGGCGGAATCTCTGTCTTCTCATACTTCTAGCTTGTCTTCCCAGTTCTTCCCAACTGTATTTCGGAAGGATCAATCAGCGGAAGAAATAGCGCTGGATATGTGGATGAACGGACAGTCATCGCTGAATATTACTCTTCTTCGTAAGTCAATTCCTTGCTTTCTTACGAATAAAATAAGATGGCTCGGCTCGTATTGCTAGGGTTTCAGATTCGACTGTCTTATATGATGACAGATTTAGTTTTTAGTAAAAACATGGTTCAACGAGAAAACCATATAATTTGATGCGCAGTAGTTATCCCCAATCGGCCAAAATGGCGCCTGCTGCCTGGATTGGCCAGAAGCAAGAGAGTTATGGTGAAGGTTTCTTTTGATGTTCACATTTGTATTGAGTGATATTTTGCCTGATAGCAATATCAGAAGAAATATATAGTTAAAATCAAAATAGTTTATTGAGGATAAAAATCTAATGCTTCATAGTAGTAATAATTGCCAAAAGAAACCAAACGCGAAAATTTTTTAGTATAAAAAGTGAGAAACAAAAAGTCTGAGTTTTTGTAGTTCATGAAATTGCTATTCAAATATGAAAACTGCTAGTCATACAACCTCATATATGAATAACAAAATCTTTGTTCAATTATCAGAAAAATCTCAATAATATGAAATGTATGGGAAAGTTCTATGAGGATTGCGTGACTATCTTTTTTGTCAACCCGTGAGCCATGGAAACTTTTTTGCACCAAATAGTGGGGTCAATAATAATTGTGGATTCTACTATTTGCAGAAAATCTACGAAAGGCTATTCTAACCCGCGCTGACACTCATGGATGACAATTGATTAGATTAGGTTTTCATGGTCTGCCTCCTTAAAACTTGAAAACAATCAATTATCATCCGTTAAAAAGGATTACATTTTTTTGTGAAATCTATAAAATCCAACTTTATCGATTGTAATTGATTATAATGGATTATGATTTTAAATAAATGTTTATAATTTTCAAACAAAATGTAGCGTTTTACAAACTGACACTTGCTTTTGCCTTAACACGTTTTATTAGAAAACCTGTAATTTGACTCACTTTGGCTGAGACATTTCAGCTGCTTTTGTGTTCAACTTCTTTCCCTCACACGTCTTCTATACGTTGTTAGTTTCTAAATTTGTGTTGAACCTTTGATACCCCCTTCCTCATCCAATTTACTTCCCTCCTTGTCACCATTTTATATTTAGCTTCCTTTTAGAACAACCTTCTGGGAGGGTGATAAATTGGTTTTTGGAACTAGCGGGAGGTGTCGAATTATAGGGAAATGGCGGGGTTGAAAACAAGGATGAACATGTTTGTTCGGGTTTTAGTTTTGCAGAAACACTTCATTTTTGCAAAATAAATCAATGTTCAAGAATTTTATGATCAAAAACAATCGATAGTTTTGAAAAAAAAACGGATTATAACCAATTTTAAACCATTAACACATTATAATGGATTTTTGAATCACAAAAATAATCAATTATAACCCACTTAAAATCCATTTTCATGGTTTGATGAGTCATAAAAACCAGATATTTGGGTTTAATTTGTGGCCAATTCAATCCCTTATTTTACTCATTTCCAACATTCCAGAGTTAGTTTGTTGAGTTAAGCGCATATTTTTGCATCTCGAACTTTCACGTGGTACATTTATTGTAGCTGAAATTAGTCAAGTTTTTGTAGACCTGAAGCTAGAGCTCAAGTGAGTGCTCATCCTTTCACACTACCCTTGCCATGGCAACGCGGGTTAATTACACGATCTGACGCTCTCAAAAAGAACGACTTACCATTATAGTAAACGCATCTATGTTTCGCAAAAGTCTTGACTTGAGAGAAGTTTATAATTGAGATTGAGGAAAAGACCTATTAAGCATATCCTTAACAAAATTGATGTAATTGCTCTTTTGCAATTGATGATGAAAGCTCAAAAACAGACCATTAGGCCCAAAATGTGGAAAAAAGTTTTAAGCATGGATACAAATCGGCAAAAAACATTTAGCTGTGCAGAAGCTGACTATTGTTGAGCGAGAAGCAAGAGCATTATTGTAAAGGTTGCTATTAAGGTTGATATTCATATTTGTACTGACTGATTTTTTGCCTGATAACAATGGTCATTTGTAGTTGTTATCAGAATAATTACTTATAAAAAAATCTAAATAATTCATTTTGGTTAAATATCTAATGCTTCAGTGTAGGAATGAAAAACAAAAAAAAACAAAAAAAATTATGGAATAAAAAATAAGAAACAAAAGGTCTGAGATTTAGTACTTCATGAAATTGTTCGTCATTTAATTTCATTCACTGAAAACTGCCAGCCATACAAACTCCATTTATGAAAAATGAAATTTGAGTTAGGCTATCTATTAATTTTTAATTAAATGAAAAGTTTTGTAAGCTGTATGTAAATTTTCTGGCTAGCTTTTTTGTCAAATGGTGGGCCATAAAACTGATTGCGTTTTGCGAATACTGGATAAATAATATTTAAGGATTCTACTATTTTCAGCTCATCTATGAAAAAGAAATGGATTACAGTTTTTATTGAAAAATCTACAAAATTCAACTCAATCGATTATAATTCATATTAATGGAATAAGATTTTTTAAGAAATTTTAGTTAGTGATTTTCAAACAAAATGCAGTGATTTCACAAAGTTACTCTTGCTTTGATTTTAACACACGTTTTGTTAGAAAAATTGCAAGGAGACTTACTTTGGCTGAGAAATTGATTGTTTTTTATTTCAACTTCTTTCCCTCACAACTTTTCTTATACATTTTTAGTTTCTGAAATTGTTTGAACCTTTCGATACGCCATTACCCATCCAATTTACTTCTCTCCTGGTCACCATTTTATGTTTAGCTTCCTTTTAGAAAAACCCGCAGGTGAGTAACGTAACCGCCTATAAATTTTGATCCTCTCAGTCCCTCCCCCCTTTCACCCGTGAAGTGAGGTGAGGAAGATGGTGTGGGAAAGGTGGAAGGGTGTGTGTGTGTGTGTGTGTGTAGTGGGAGGGGTGCGCTTAGAAGGCTGAGTGTGGAGGTAAGGTTTGGAAAAGGTGGAGGATAGGGGGGTCGGAAAAGTAAATGCGGATGTTGAATTTTGGGGACGTGGGGTCGTACATGTTCGTTCGGGTTTTAGTTTCGCAGAAACATATCATTTTTGCTAATTAAATCGATGTTCATGATTTTAATAGTTCAAACATTCGATAATTTTGAAACAAAAAATGGATTATAGTAGTTTTTGATGCATTATAATGGATTTTTGAATCTTGAAATTATTCGTTTAGAATCCACTGAAGTTCCATTTTCATGGTTAGATGAGCCAATAAAATCAATTTTTGAGTTAAGTTTATTGCCAATTTAATCCCTCATTTTAAATGAAACCCCTTTTATTTATTCTCAACATTCCAGAGTTCTTTTTTCGCGTGTTACAATTAATGCAGTGAAGTTAGTCGGGTCGTGGTAGACTTGAAGACCAGGTGCTTGCTCATCCTTTCACACTTTATGATTAAAAACAATCGATAAAATTGAAACAAAAGGCGGATTAAGATCGATTATAATGGATAATAGTGGATTTTTGAATCTTGAAAATGACCAATTAGAATTCAAAAAAAGCCAATTTCTTGACTAGATGAGCCATTTAAATTCATTATGGGGGTTATGTTTGTCGCCAGTTTTATTCATTATTTTAAATGAAACTCTTTTTATCTTTACCCAACATTCCACAGTTATTTTGTTGATTTAAGCTCTTATTTTTGCGTCTCGTACTTTCACGTGGTACATTTTATGCAGCTGAAATTAGTCAGGTTTTGGTATACCTGAAGCTAGAGGTCAAGTGAGTGCTCATCCTTTCACGTTATCCTTGCCATTGCATGGAATCGAATTCACGATCTGACGCTATCAAAAAGAACATTTTACCACTATACTAATAAATTGAGATTGATCGAAATGCCTATAAAGCATCTGCTTACAAAGTTGATGCAAATGATTTTGCGCAATTCACGTTAAAAGCTCAAAAACAGACCATAAGACTCAAAAAATCAAAAAAGTTTTAGCATGCATACACCTTGGTGACTAAAATTTAGCTGTGCAAAAACTCTTGTTGAACAAAATTGCTGTATTTTTTCAGTATCAGAAACATCTTCCAGTGAAATCACAGTGGTAGACTCTCTGTCAATTTTGCCCGTTGTGGCAACCACCCCTGTCAAAATATTCAATTACTCATCATCATCCTCAAACCTCGACGAATCCGAAGGCGAACAGCGCTATCTGTCGGTGAGGCATGATTAAACTTATAAGCATACTCTGATTAGCAGGTGCGAAGAAGAGTACATATGTAGGGCAAATTGAATTCTGTTACAGATATTTTTCAAACACAAAAATAGTGAACTGATTCGTCAAGTGGAAGCATTGCCGATCGGAAACTCACAATGCGAACGTAAGTGGAGCAATGCTTTTTTAGTTTTAGAACTTTTGTTTTTCTTTTTAATTTAAGGTGAAATCACCAAAACAAATGTTCAATTTATCTGTCCAGGAAAGAAAGTAACAAAATTAGAGATTTTACTCGGGCGAAAGTTCAAACAGATTTATTGGTTAAGACTATGAGTGGACAAAAATATCCACCACTTGATAATACCGAAACCACTGACATATAGGTGGTCATGTTATTTTGTCGTCATGTGTATCTGCGTTTTGCTTATGTGAAACTAAGGAAGTATATCGACGAGTAGCACTTGTCATAAATGGAAAGACGCCTCTTCGAAATTCAAAATTCCTCCAGCCGGCTCTGCCTCCCTTTTGTGTCAATCGAACAGACTGTGCAATGGGATGACATGCACAAAAAGCGCCAGATACAGACAGGTGAGTGACGAACAGCCTCTATTATACATGCAAAAAGGACACCCCCGTTTTTTAAAAATACTCACTTTTCTACTCCATAAAATGAAGAACGAAGACTGAATTTGATTTGATGATACTTTAATTTTGCAAAACCTGGAAAATAAATGTTGGTGAGTCAAATTCTGAGGTAGATCAGCGTGCACAGGGATTGAAAATGACCTTTTTTTTTAGCTCAACAAGATCCCCCAAAGACGTATTTTGCCAGTAATTTTTGGGCAGCAGGCGAAAAAAAGGCGTTTTTGAGCAGTTTTGGTGAGCTTCTACCAAAAAATTGCAGTTTTTCGGTGCCCGCTCCCCCCGTAAATATGGTAAAATAGGTGGCGACACGGCTTTAAAAATTTTTGGGTTGATCAATCAAAAATGGACGTTGTAAAATAGCACCAGTAACTAATTTTTACAAAAAAAATTTGAAAAAAAAAATGGCAACCGGAATTGAGGGAAAAGCTGCGATCGCCCCTAGTTACGCAACAAAACTGGAGCTTTTTTTGGTATGTTGGTTGCTATGAAAATTTTCTGCTTGCAGCAGTCCACTGTCTTGTTGGAGTTTTCGTCTTGTCTATCTCCTGTGGAGATCAGAGTCCGAGAAGAGAGCGTTGACGACTCCGAGTCCACCGGGACTGCAGAAGTCTACTCTAAGGGAGACAGAATCAGTTCTTTGAGTAATTCAATCTATACATAATTATAGACAGTCGAATACATGATACATACAACCCAAATGTGTTGATCTACGGTTCAGGAAGTTTCATTCCTTCTTCAGAACGTGACTTTTTCATCAACAATTATGTTTGGCTCAAGAAGTCTCCAACTGAAAAAAAATGTGAAAAGTTGTTTTTAACTTGTTACACGATTTATTTCATATCCTTACGGTACGTTGATCATGATTGGAATAAATGGCCTGGCCCGTTTCTGTTCAGACAACGCCTACTTTGCCGACTTCATACTATACCAGGAGTGTCTCGTGGTCATCCTCAAGACGAACAGATTATCCAAAAGTTACATGGCCAGTGTGGTGCCTAGAGACTGCCCCAAGTTGCCGGAGTCACACCACCAATATGTCAAACTGGAAAAATGTCCGAAAGGTAGGAACCAAATAAATTATTTTAAATGGTTACATAACCAATTTTTTTGATCTTGAGACGGTTGCAACCTTGAGTAGACCATGACCATTGCGTGAGTTAACCTATTGAGAGTCAGTTGCTTTAAATCTGTCACCAAGATAGACCTGTGAATCTTGGTGGCTCGAGATATTACTGTCTATATTACTGAGATTTAGGGGGGGGGGGGAGGATAAGGTTTCCTTTTGGTAGTATTTTATGACATCCAATTTCGACGACCAACCCTAAAATTTGTCTAAAGGCGCTTTGGCGCCAATATATACTAATTTTGAAGGGGGAGCGCACGCCGAAACAATAAAATATTTTAGTCAAAAAATGTCCAAAAGGCCCCAAAAACGGCATTTTTGACCTACTTTATCAAAAATTTACCTGTAGCGCTGCAACAACGCTATTTTTGGTCAAAATTTTCCATAAAGTGCTCAAAAACGGCTTTTCAAAACAATTTCGATTTTTTGCGCACTCCTAGAACACTGTAAGGCTTCTATTTTGAAAAGCGGTTTTTGAGCACTTCTTGGAAATTTTGACGCTCCGCTTCAAAGTTAGTATATATTGGCGCCAAAGGCACCTGTATAAAACTTTTAGGATTCTTTGGCCTAAAATGGATGCCATAAACTAATACCAAAGTTGGTTGCCTTTGGTTGGTGAGAGAATCGAATCCGTAAAACCAAAAGAAGAAAGTCGTCCCTCTCCTGAATCCGCCCCTTGGTCGATGTCATACCGCTACTGCAGTAGCAGTACTCACTATACGGATGTACAGCCAACCTCTGGTGTTAAATCATTATTTTATGGTACGCTCAAGGTCATACATAAGTGATGACACTGAGACTAAGTGAGAGATCAGAGTACTTAACAACGATCTATCTCTCAGTACATAAGAAAACAAAGAAAAGAGAAAATCTAAATTCAATCTTCTAAATAAAGTATTGAATTCCAACTTGTTTTCAATTTGTTATCGCAACGCATATCACATGGCGCAGCCAGCAGGATTCGCAGCTCAAGACAACAGAACGGATATGGGAATCCCGGTATTTTGGGCATCAGCGAATTTAGACCCTCCGTGGCAATTTAAAATTTGGTTCGAACAATTTCTCATGGCGGTTACGGTAAAAGAAAATGTGAACCCAGAGATTATTTTGGAAGAACCAAAAGACATATTAGAGGAACCACCACCACGCCCGGAAACGCCCAGGGATGGGGAGAACGAAGATGCGAGGAACGCTAGAATCCTTAGAGATAAACTAGCAAGAGACAGAGTAGCATTGGAGAACGAAGAGAAAAGAACAAGAGGCCCAAGAGTTGGACACAATGTCTTCTACAACGAAGTACAAAAGAAACTGGTGTCACGACTATTTCTATCTTTGGGCACTGAGGGAAAGAAAAGATTCCTACAGAAGAATCCGCACGCAGAAATATCAAAAATGACGTTCAGAGAAGTAACAGATCTGGCAGAAGTCTCGTTTCAAAAAGTGAAATGTGTAACCTACGAGAGATACAAGTTATTTACGAGAATGCAAGAATCTGGAGAATCTCTAGAATCATTTCACGCAGCGTTAACTGCTCAGGCAGCCAGATCAGAACTAGGAACATTGGAAAATGAAAAAGTGCGAGACTTATTCATCTCGAAGATGAAGAACATGACATTACAGGATACGTTGACATTCGAAACTCTGGATCCAGAGGAAGTTCTAAAAAGAGCTATAAAATTCGAACATAGCAAGTTAACCACAATGGCATTTCAAAAGACTAATGCTGCGGCTGCAGGATGATCAAGTAGCAATTACACATCGGGTGTAAGAATAAAACAGGAACCTGTAATGGCAGTACGAAATTTGGGGGGGAAAACCAAAACTCCAAATAGAAGAGAAAATAATAACAGACAGAATAATAACAAAAATCAAAACACGAAAACGAAACCATGTAATAGATGTGGAAGGATGTTTGAACAAGGACACCTAAAAAACTGTCCAGCGATGGGAAAGGACTGTAAAAACTGTGGTAAACCGAATCATTTCGCTAAAATGTGCAGATCACAACAAGTAAGTGAAATTGCGGAAGATTCGGAAGAATCGATAGTGGAATGCGACCAGATCAGTGAAGGTGTTGGGTCATGTAGTGAATTTGAAGTCATGTTGATACATACCCATTTACCGGAAAATGAACGAGTTTCAAAATATGTGAAAGATCGAATCAATGAAATGAGAAAAGAAACAAACGGAAAAGTGGTTAGAGTTCAGAAAATAGACTCTATTCGAGATCCAACATTGAACCGCGTAAAGTCACTAAAGGCTATGGTACGAATAGATAACCAGATTATTCAACTAACAGTGGATACTGGTAGTCCTGTTTCATTTCTTAACTGGGCAACGACGAAAGAAATCATGGAAAAATCAAACAAAGTGAGATTCATACCGTCCGACAAATTGAATTTACAAACCAAATTTGTGGACTACAACAAACAACCGATCAGTATCCTGGGAGCCCTAAAAACCAATCTGAGGTCAGCGGGCTGGGAAGTTAAGGGCGCAACCTTTCTGGTATCAGAGCGAAAAACTAGATGCATCATGGGATTAGACTTGCAAGGACAAGTGGGAATAGTGACTACACAAAGAACAGCGCCAAAAGAACTCACCAGGTTTGACGTGCTCATGTGCGAGCAGTCGGAAGGTTGGAAAGAAAAATTTTTCAATAAATTTAAGAACTTATTTGAAAGGCAAGGCATTTCTAAAAACCACATCGCCAGTTCAAAATTCAAATACCCACTATGTCCGATACAAGAAAAGGGGAGAAGAATCCCAATTCATATACAAGATAAAGTCGAAAAAGAAATCGAGAAGTTATTGACAGAAGGTCATATAACAAAACTTGATAAGTGTACAAGTGATTGCTTTATCGCCCCGATTGTGATAACAGTAAAGAAGGACGACTCAATAAAATTGGCAATGGACGCGAAACCAATCAATAGACAATTGTTTAAAAACAAATACCAAATGCCGAACGTAGACGAACTTATTGATGGGGTAAGCCAGATTGTAACCGAAAACAAAAAGGGTACGCTATATTTTTCGGTGTTAGATTTGAAATATGCGTACAGTCAACTAAAATTGGCTGCGGATACAGCTAGGCAATGTAATTTTAACATTGTGGGCGGAAAAGCAACCGGAACTTACAGATTCTTGACAGGATTCTACGGACTAGCAGATATGCCAGCTGAATTTCAAAAGGCTATGGATAGAACCATCAATCATGCTAAAAACACATTCTGTTTCCTGGATGACATACTTATTGTGTCAAAGGGAAGTGAAACCGAACATGCCAACCTAGTAGAAGCAGTATTAAAGAAATTGGATGCGGAAAATTTGGCACTGAAACTATCAAAATGTGAATTTTTTAAACAAGAAGTGAATTGGTTGGGTCATCATCTCTCAGAAGAAGGAGTTAGACCGAAGATCACTAAAACGGAAGCGGTAGTAAACTTGAACCCGCCGAAATCCCTAAAACAACTAAGGTCATTTCTAGGAAGCATAAATCATCTAGCAAAATTTATACCTAACGTAGCAAGTCTGACAGAAAAATTAAGACCTCTTCTTAAAGAAGAAAATCAAAAGAAAAAGTTAAAAAACATGAAACTCCCGGTGAAAAAATTCGAGTGGGGGGATGTTCACACAGAAGCATTTAATGCTATAAAAGGAGCTGTGGCAAATATTACGAAAGTGCATTATTATGATACAAATCGACAAACACGAGTTAAGTGCGATGCTAGCCATGATGGACTAGGGTCCACTTTAGAACAACAAAATGATGAAGGGTTGTGGGTCCCAATTTCGTTCGCATCTCGATACCTAAATGCTCAAGAAAAAAAAATATTCAACAAATGAGTTGGAACTATTGGCAGTTGTTTGGGCAGTAGACAGATATAAACACTATCTTCTGGGGAAACCATTTACCATCGCAACTGACCATAAAGCTCTTACAACAGCATTGGATGTTAATCAATCAAACAAGACCTATCAGTCACGCTTAACCCGGTGGGTTGACCGGTTACTGCCGTATCAGTTCAACATAGTTCACATTCCGGGGAGGGACATGGGCATAGTTGATTATTTATCGCGTGATCCTTTCAATGATCCCTGGCCCGAATCAGAATTAGACGAAAAGTTTGTAGTAGCTACGATAAACTCCTTTCATGAAGCGTTCGACTGCTGGAACAGTAGGCTTAAAGATTCAAGTTCGCTCAACCGGAACGAAAACGTTCTAGAATGTTCTAGAAGGAATGTTAGGAAACAGTCATCAAGTAATGGTTGCTATAGCAACCAAAACGGTCAAAACCGAACAAAGCTCGACCGGAACGAGAGAAAAAAGTTTCCACGACTGCAAAAACAGCTAAACACAACAGTTCAACAGAAACAAATCACTTTTTCGTCAAATCAACCCAGCAAACAGTCAGTCTCAAAAAATTGCAAAATAAAAAAACGACCAGTACCGAAAAAAATAGAAAAAACAGACTCAAGAATCGAGATGTCAGAAAATACAAACAAAACATACGACTGGTGGTCCAGCTCACCACAAGATTGGCGGAATGAGGAGCGTGAAGAAAGCTTAATGGACCCAAAGTGGAACCGATCATTTTCCACCAACAACGAACTCTCGGGAGAAGAGGAAATCACAGAGACAGTACAACGTACAAGAAAGATTATACGAGGAGGAAGAAAAAATAGGGACAGCTCAGACAGCGAAACACGTCAACAACAACGAGTAAAATGGTCGCTGGAACCGGAACAACAACAAATAGCGGACCAAAGATTGCTCTCTTTCTGGCAACTAATAGGCGGAGAAAACAATGTTCAGGAAAATCGAGAACTGGTGGCCGATACTCAAGAAGTCAGAGAAAATCTGGAAGACGAATTCAATCCAACATCGTCAAAACCGATCGCATCGACAGAACGAAAACTCAATGAGGTGAACGT